TTTATTGTAGAGATGAGGTCTCGCTGCCCAGGCGGGTCTCGAACCCACAGGCTCTGGCAATCCACTCACCTCGGCCTCCCAAAGGCACGGGATTACAGGCTGAGCCATGGAGCCCGGCTAAAAAAATTTTTTTAATAAAATGTTATTTATGTTAGTATATAATGAGTTTATTATTTTCTTAATGAATTAATAAATATTTTAAACTGTTTTAGTTTTCATTTTTAATATGACAAATAATAGGTGTGACAAGAGTCCTCAAACTGTAAGCATTTAGAGGTTCCTGAGATCAAAAAGTAAGAGAACTGTTGCCCTAGGAGTTTCACATAAGCTGCAAAGTTGGAAAATAATCTACTTCTTTGGATTTCTCTGATGTATAAGACTTTAATGTGATGAGACCATAAGGTTGAAACTCTCACCTTAATAAAACACAGTGGAAAGAAACTGAACTGATCGAAGACTAATACTAGATTTAGTTTTGAAGGGCAAGTCACTCAATGGCACCCTCCCCGGCCTTTGCTTCTCCATCCCTAGAAGAAATGGTTCAGCTGGGTGTGGTGGATCACACCTGTAATCCTAGCACTATGAGAGGCTGAAGCAGGAGGACTGCTTGAGCCCCAGGAGTTCAATACCAGCCTGGACAACACAGCCAGACCTCGTCTCTACAAAAAAATTTAAAGAATAGCCAGGAGTGGTGGTGTGCACCTGTAGTCCCAGCTATTCAGGAAGAAGGCTGAGGTGGAAGGATCGCCAGAGTCCAGGAGGTCAAGGCTGTGATGAGCCTTGATCATGCTCTGCACTCCAGCCTGGACACGAGACTCCAGCTCAAAATGAATAAATAAAATAAAATAAAAGGGTCAATCAGTAATTCTCAAAGACAGGTGTATCAGACTCTCTGGAGATGCTGTTTTGTTTTGAGTCGGAGTCTCACTCTGTTGCCCAGGCTGGAGAGCAGTGGCACGCTCCTGGACACCGCAGCCTTGATCTGCTGGGCTCAGGTGATCCTTCCGCCTCAGCCTTCCAAGTAGCTAGAACTACAGGCATGCGCCACCAGGCCCAGCTAATTTTTTGATTTATTGTAGAGGTGAGGTCTCACCAAGTTGCTCAGGCTGGTCTCGAAGCCGTGGGCTCAGGCAATTCTCTTACCTGGGCCTCCCAAAGTGCTGGGATTACAGGTTTGAGCCACCGTACCTGGCCAATGTTGTTTTTTTCAAACGCATATTTGCTCTCTTGCTTCCCCTGAAGACACTGACACAGTTCCTCCACTCCACCTGCCTTGAGAATTGGTACATGTAATAGAAGCATTACTGACAGCAGTTGGTTATGTTTGTGAATGCTGTGAAGACGGTAAATGTCTGAAAAGGCTGGGTGTGGCAGCCCACACCTGCAATCCCAGCACTTTAGGAGGCCACAGCAGGAGGACTGCTTGAGCCCAGGAGTTCAAGACCAGCCTGGACAACATAGTGAGACCTCATCTCTATAAAAAAATCAAAAAATATTCAGGCATGGTGGCTCATGCCTGTAATCTCAGCACTTTGGGAGGTGGAGGCGAGAGGACTGCCTGAGCCCGAGAGTTCAAGACCAGCCTGGGCAACTTGGCGAGACCTCAGCTCTACAATAAATTTTAAAAAATTAGTCGAGCATGGTGGCACACACCTGTGGTTCCAGCTACTTGGAAGGCTGAGGCGGAAGGATCGCCTGAGCCCAGCAGGCCAAGACTGCGATAGCCATGAGAGTGCCACTGCACTCCAGCCTGGGTGACAGAGTGAGACTCTGACTAGAAGGGAGGAAGGGAGGTAGGGAGGGAAGGAGGAAACCCTAAAATGGCAATTCTTCTAAGGCACCAATTTTCTAATTCAGAGCAATAAAAGGAGTGAGGACTGACCAATGAAATCCTTGCCAAGAGGACAAGAAGGTTTTGTTTTTGAGTCTAGAGGCTTGAAGAACTGCTACTTCGTTCGGACCTGAGCAAGTGTTCTTATTTGACCAAGATCTATTTGCTCACCTTATAGTCAAACAGAAAAAGTCCAAAAAAAAGGCTGTAGAGGTCCGCTGTCAGGATGCCCAGGTTGACAGAGGTGGCACTCGTGACCTTGATCACCAACGGCATGAAAGTGTAGAGGCAGAACATACAGAGGGCAAATGCCACGAACAGCAGGGCTGTGGGGAAAAAAAATGAAACAGCAGATATGAAGAGGAGAAACCAAAAGACAGAGGGGCTTGAGGCTTGGCTGCCACTGGAAACTCCCTCATCCTTTAACAAGGGGAGGGACCCCCAAAAAACCCAGAATTTATAAGAATGTATTTATTCTCCCATGTTTCAACTTCAGTCACCTTCAGCGTACTCTCCCCATTTGATGCAATACATCTATCGAGACGCTTTATCCGCTGCGCAAGCAGTTTTTCAACTTGTCAATCTTGATGCCTATTAGAGCTTCTGCCTTTTTGTTTGTTTCGTCTTTTCCACATTGGCAAAACGTTTCTCTGAGGACTTTGTTCAATCAGGGAAACAAAAGAAAGTCACTCGGGGAGTGAGCGAGCAAAGAGGGTGGGTGGGGCCCAGGAGTCCTGCTGCTTTGCATGAAAAACTGCTGAATACTCAGCACAGTGTGGGCAGATGTGCTCGTATATCACCCATCATGAAATGGGCATACATGTTGAAAGAATCTCCCCCAAAAAATTCACTGAAGCTGGATGCAGCCTCCCACAACACCAGCTGGTACACCGATGCCAATGGGCTCCTAGAACACTTACCTAGAGGGAGAACCTGTACCACCAGGGGCCCACCCTCCAAAGGTAATTCCCAGTGTGGTTGTCTCCCGCCCCCGCCCCCATTGTACAAAGCCACCAGTTAACAGGCAGCAGTGCGAAGGGGACTGCAAAGCTCTCTGGAAAAAACTAATGCTCACAACAAGTTGTAATGTACATAAAGGACTGCAAAAATCCAACAGGGTATTGGATAATCAAGGCCATAAGAGCCTGCTTCTGGTGCAACTGATCAATAGCTCGTATCACACCCTGCTCTACCTTCCCAGGGCAGAGCAACGCCCAAGAGTCAGTAAAGGCAGAATCGATAGCACCTGTCAAGACAAATCGCCCACTGTCTTTTCTTTGCTTTTATTTGTTCGGCTGGACGTGGTTTGTGTAATTGGATTCAGCATAAAGTATTGCTAAGGCATCCAAGACCATTATTAGGCCCACTGTGTTTTGCTCATCTGATTACATTAAATGCCCAAGACAGCACAATAAAACTATCCTCTCTAGGGTAGTGCTCGCCGTGTGGAGGCCAACTACATTAGCTGTGTCTGCTTTGCAACCATTTATTTAATATTACCCCGTATACCACACACACACACACACACACACACACACACTTTCTGGCAATCTAATTTATTTAATTGAATTAAACTATTTAAGCATGGTACACAATCTCCATTGACATACATGAATTATATAACTTATTTCACCTGGGTTCGGTGGCTCACACCTGTAATCCCAACACTTTGGGAGACTGAGGCAGGAAGGATCACTTGAGGCCAGGAGTACAAGACGGGCCTAGGCAACCCAGCGAGCCCTCATCTCAACAAAAATTTTAAAAAATTAAGCCAGGCGCGGTGGCTCACGCCTGTAATCCCAGCACTTTGGGGGGTGGAGGCGAGAGGATTGCCTGAGTCCAGGGGTTTGAGAACAGCCTGAGTAACACGGTGAGACTTCGTCTCAACAATAAATCAAAAAATTAACCGGGCATGGTGGCACACGCCTGTGGTTACAGCTACTTGGAAGGCTGAGGTGGAAGGATCGTCTGGGTCCAGCACGTCAGGGCTGCGGTGGCTGTGAGTGTGCCACTGCCAACCTGGGCAACAGAGTAAGACTCTGACTCAAAAAAAAAAAAATTAGCTAGGTGTGGTGGCGCTCACCTGCAGTCCCACCTTCAGGAGGCTGAGGCGGAAGAATAACCTGAGCCCAGGAGGTGGAGGCTGCAATGAACCATGATTATGCCAAGGCACTCCAGTCTGGGTGACAGAGTGAGACTCCGGCTCAATACATAAATTGGTCAACAAAACCTCTTTCTGCCCATCATTAAATAAGGTTCAAATCTGTCTTGACTGTCCCATCATTGCCTTCTTCTGCTTCATTTATTTACGCAGAAGCCTAAGAACAGCAGGTGGGAGGAGCACTGGGTGGTGATTCCACACCATCGATGACTCAGGTTAGTGATTGCCAAGTCACAATGTGCAGACAACGACCCATCCGAGAAGTCTGAGGACCCACATTACAGATCTAATAGAAAGCGGGTAGGACCGAAAGTCAGTCTCTGGGCTCATTCAGAATTCCTAGGAAAGAAAGGCTCTGCCTGCAGGTGAAGATTAAGAATTAACTTTGTAAAAATAAATAAATTAATTAATAATAATAAAAGAATTAACTTTGTGAAGGAAAATCTACTAATTTTCGGGGAAACCTCCATGTAAAACACTGCAGCTGGCTGGGCTCAGTGGCTCAGCCTGTCATCCTAGCACTTTGGGAGGCCAAGGCAAGTGGATTGCCTGAGCCTGCTGGTTCGAGACCCGCCTGGGCAACTTGGCAAGACCTCGTGTCTACACTAAATCAAAAACTAGCCGGGTGTGGTAGCATGCGCCTGTAGTTCTGTCTGCTTGGAAGGCTGAGGCAGAAGGATCGCCAGAGCCCAGCAGGTCGAGGCTATAGTGGCCGGGAGCAGCCACTGCACTCCAGTCTGGGCGACAGAGTGAGACTTCAATTCAAAAAGAACAAACAAACAAACAAAAAAAACACTGCAGCTATTGTGTATGAAATGACTCTGGGATCGCACAAAGATGTCTAAATATTATTCAAATGGTGCATTTATTGCTGGATGATCATTTTTTTTAGTTAAAGGAAAGAATACTGACGAAAAAAGAATTATCATTTATGTACATACCAATTTTCCAGTCCCAGTGAATGCTGGCAATATCCTTATACTCCACAATCAACCTAAGATTAAAGCAAGAAATCACAGAGAGATCCACACTAGTTTTCATGGTTTTATAAGCATTTTAGTTGTTATACTTCAGCTAAAGGGAGGTATTAGGTTGACTTCTGAATATTTCTTAGAATATAAAAATAACTATCTTTAATTAAAATGACAGAATAAAATCAAAGGCATTCATAAAGGTATGTTTGACTCTCTTATACGTGGTCTTCAATAATATTCAAGCAGGGGAACCCCTTCAGGTCCCCTCCCACCATGGGAGCTTTTCTGTCCTCTCAATAAATCCTGCTTTCTAAAAAAAAATAATAATAATATTCAAGCACAGGAGGAAAACAGAACATTATGCTTTCTCTTTAAAGATGCTTGGGGCTGGGCATGGTGGCTCAGCCTGTGGTGCCAGCACTTTGGGAGGCCGAGGCGAGAGGACTGCCTGAGCCCAGGGGTTCAAGAACAGCCTGGGCAACTTGGTGAGACCTCATCTCTACAGTAAATCACAAAAACTAGCCAGGTGTGGTGGCGTGAGTCTGTAGTTCCAGCTACTTGGAAGACAGAGGTAGAAGGATCGCCTGAGTCCGGCAGGTCGAGGCTGCGGTGGCCATGAACGTGCCACTGGACTCCAGCCTGGGCTACAAAAGTTAGACTCCAACTCAAAATAAATTAATAAATAAATAAGATGCTTAGGAAGTCAATGTGTTTATATTTTCTGAAAATAATTGTAAAAGAAAAATCAGCCAGGCTCGGTGGTTCATGGCTGTAATCCCAGCACTTTAGGAGATGGAGGTGAAAGGATTGCATGAGTCCAGAGGTTTAAGACTAGACTGGGCAATTTGGTGAGACCTCATCTCTACATTCTAGAAAGAAAGCAGTCATCTATGATACATTTGCTTATTTTGTCTTTAGGAAAAATTTGAGAATCTTACAGCTGTATGCCACTGATAATTGTTCCAAATAGGCCCACCATTCCTAAAAACTCCTGTCTGCTCAGCTTCTTCACGATGTATTCTTCACAAACATTTGAAACGGCGTAAAGGGACGCCCCAAGAAGCACCAAGATGTCACCAATCAGCACATCACTCCCTGGAGGAAGACAAGTCACCAAAGGGACACACTGTCAACAGGTGAACCTCTACAGCTGACCTCCAGGAGTTTATCTGACTCGTGTTCATTTGTTTAAACAAGGCTTTATAGAAAGAGAAACCCCAGTTCCTAGAAGTTTAAAGTCTCTTACTCTTCTCACGTTATGGCCCAATTATGCTGTGACTTTCCTAATTTGACTCCTCAGGAGATTAAAAGACTAGAAGATGGTGGGATATACCATAGCATAAAGCCTGAAAAAAAGTCTATGACAGAACAAATTAATGAGATTTGCTGAGAATCAGGTCAGTTCGAAAAATATAAGGAAGGGCCAGATGCAGTGGCTCACACCTGTAATCCCAGCACTTTGGGGGGTGAATTGGAGCAAATTACCTAGCCCAGGGATTCGAGTCTAGCCTGGGCAACTTGACGAGACTTTGTCTCTACAAAAATAAAAAAAATTAGCCGGGCAAGGTGGTGCGTGCAGTTCCAGCTACTTGGAAGGCTGAGGCAGAAGGATCATCTGAGCCCAGCAGGTCGAGCCTGCAATGGCCGTGAGTGTACCACTGCACTCCAGCCTAGGTGACAGTGAGACTCAGACTCAAAAAAAAATACACACACAGAAGGAACACGCTTTCGAGCTTTAAAAGAAACTTCCTCTTAATCCAAGAAGAAAGTCACTTGTAGATCAGGTGAATTCATAGACCTTAATAAGACTTTAGACGACCGATGATCTAAATTTAGCACAAAATATAACAAAGTATTCTCATCTATGAAGCGATTTAAAAAAGAGGTCACCCAGTAAACAAGTTTCCTTTTGGATAAAAACAAACAAACAAACAAGAATCTACAGTCGGTTTTCCAGTAACTAATCCAAATGTATGTTTGAAGATGACTGCAAATATATAAAGAAACTTTTATCTCATGAGACAGACAAAACTATTTAGAGTGACAAAAAGGTGCAAAAACTGTGGGCTGCTAGGAATATCAAGATCGGTTTGTGGAAGTGATTATGAAATACCAGAAACAAAGAAATCTAAAATAAAAATTTTAATGTCATCAACAGAGACATGTTTTCTGCTTTTTATGAAATTTTTGCAGAATAAGTGAAAACACGAGCAAAGTAATAACAATCTTACCTGAATTGTCTTCCCTCCCTGCTAATATGTCTGCTCCAACCATGGTTCCTACGCCCAGCAGACAGACAGACACGGCAATGAAGTGGATCACTCTGTACCTCGCATAAAGAATAAACCACGAGAGAGCCATCAGCACAGGAATCCCGAAGCAGTCCAAAAGCTGCACGGAAGGAAGGAAACAGCTTAAAGCATCTCTCATTCACTAAAGGATGAGCCATGAAGCCATAACGAGAGTCAGCTATTTACTGAGCATTTGCCATGGCCAGCCCTATACCTAAAGTGCTTTACCTGGATTAACTCATCTAATCCTCACCATAACATTACGAGATCAAAATCACAATCCCATTTCATATGAGAAAATGAAGATTCAGAGAGATGAAATGAGTTGCCTGAAATCACAGAGTTAAAAATGGGGCAGTCCAGGCCGGGCTCAGTGGCTCAGCCTGTAATCCTACACTTTGGGAGGCTGAGGTGAGTGGATTGTCTGAGCCCATGGGTTCGAGACCCGCCTGGGCAACTTGGCGAGACCTCATCTCTACAATAATTCAAAAAATGAGCCGGGCGTGGTAGTGCGCGCCTGTAGTTCCAGCTACTCGGAAGGCTGAGGCGGAAGGATCGCAGGAGCCCAGCAGGTTGAGGCTGCAGTGGCCAGGAGCAGCCACTGCACTCCAGTTTGGGGGACGGAGTGAGACTCCAACTCAAAAAAAAAAAAAAAATGGGGCAGTCCCAAGGTAGGAGAATTGCTTGAGGCCAGGAGATGGAGACCAGCCTGGGCAACACATCGAGATCCCCATCTGTAACGAATGAATGAATGAATGAATGAATGAATTTGCCTGGTGGTATGCCCACGTAGTCCCAGCTACTCAGGAGGCTGAGATGGGAGGATGGCTGGAGCCCAGGAGCCAGAGGCCTCTGGAAGCTATGATCGCACCACTGCACTCCAGCCTGGGGGTGAATAAGATCTGTCTCTAAAAAAACAAATGGGGGAGAGAGTTTCTGAACCCGACAATTCTGCCTGAGGCCTGTGCAATTTGCCTCTACACGCCTTAAATCCAGTAGGCAGCCAGGCTCAGTGGCTCAGCCTGTAATCCCGTGCCTTTGGGAGGCTGAGGTGAGTGGATTGCCTGAGCCCGTGGGTTCGAGACCCGCCTGGGCAACTTGGCAAGACCTCATCTCTACAATAAATCAAAAAATCAGCCAGGTGTGGTAGCGCATGCCTGTAATTCCGGCTACTTGGAAGGCTGAGGCGGAAGGATCGCCGGAGCCCGGCAGGTCGAGGCTGCGGTGGCCGGGAGCGGCCACTGCACTCCAGTCTGGGCGACAGAGTGAGACGCCAACTCAAAAAAAAAAAAAAAAAATTCAGTAGGCAAAACCCCCTGCCCACACCCATCTACCCAGTCAAAAAGCACTGATGAAGCACCTCACGTGTGCAAGACATTGGGAGAAGAGCCAGGAATAGAGCTGAGCAGGGCAGCACAAGCTGTGTCTGCAGGAAAAAAATAAAGCTAGAAAAGACGTGAAATAAATAATTCTACAGCCAGATACTTGATTGCAACTAGGGTGAGTACTCCAAGGAAGGGCAGGTTACCAGAGAGAGGACACACCGCCCTGACAAGTGTCCAACCCCACATGTGACACAGACACTTGCTCACAGCAATTACTCTTGCTCCTTTTTGCTGCATCTTCAGCCTCACCCAATCCTGGTTCCATAAAACACTTGCTCTACGCCTGATACTGCTCCTCTGAAAGGTAGAGACATTGAGTGTGCCCAAATTAGAGCAAATCCCAGCCGGGCGTGGTGGCTTAAGCCTGTAATTTCAGCACTTTGGGAAGTGGAGAAGGGAAGATTGTTTGAGCTCAGGAGTTCAGGGCCAGCCTGGGCAACATAGCGAGACCCTGTCTCTACAAAGAAATCAAAAAATTAGCCTGGCATGGTGGTGTGTGCCTGAAGTCTCAGCTACTCAGGAGACTGGTAGCAGAAGGCTCGTGTGAGCCCAGGAGGTCTAGGCTGTGGTGAGCCGTGATCGTGCTGCTGCACTCCAGTCTGGGCGACAGAGGGAGACCTCGACTCCAAAAAAAATTATAGCAAATCTGAAATCATGTGCAAGATAAAGGAAAAATACAGACTGCACTTACTCAATTCTTTTTTTTTCTGAGTCGGTGTCTCACTCTGTCGCCCAGGTTGGAATGCAGTGGCACGCTCACGGCTACCGCAGCCTCGACCTGCTAGGCTTCGGCGATCCTCCCGCCTCAGCCTTCCCAGTAGCTGGAACTACAGGTGTGTGCCACCACACTCAGCTCATTTTTCTGATTTGTTATAGAGATGAGGTCTCGCCAAGTTGCCCAGGCTGGTCTTGAACCCTTGGGCTTAAGCAATCCTCTTTCCTCCACCTCCCAAAGTGCTGGGATTACAGGCATGAGCTACTGCACCTGGCTGCACCTAATTCTTAAACTCACAAATTTTATGGGAATTCAAGAATAAAATACATTCAAGGGTAATTATGGATGCATTCAAGTGTACTCAAGGAAAAAATATCTTCCCTGTACTAATGATACTCCTGAAACTGTTGCTTTATTACTCAACCTGTTGTTGCTTTAAACCTTGTTCCTGATTCACTCTATCTGTTTAACCTTAGACAAAGAAGGCCCCTAAATCTCCAGCAGCCCGTTTGAGCCTGTCCATAGCTGTTAACTGACTGCATTTCACTGCAATCTCGCCAGTAGAGCCCAAAGCACCACGTGTAGGAATGGGCACCTTGCCTGGTTATTTATTTCAGCTGCAGGACTCTAATCTCCTAAGTGCTTTATTGAAGCTGCCTGAATTCAACAAACCATGACACCATGCAAATGATAACAGCCTGTCTGGAAAGACACTAGCAGAACCCAGCCATAATGGCTTAACAAAGTCTAAACGACACTCCTTAAACAGAAAAAGTAGAAAAAGATATTCTGAAAACGACCCCAGAAGACACCTCTAAGCCTTGTATCTTACAGTCAAACAAACGTGCTTTAACAAGTTTTGGGGGGCAATAAGGGAGCGGCCCTTGTTGGGATCAGAGCTCCAGCAGCCTCAGGCCCCAGCCCTGCCACTGACCAGTCAGTCGTGTGACCTCCAGTCAGTCACTCCCTGAAACAAAATATAAATAGGCTGGGCAAGGTAGCTCACACCTGCAATCTCAGCAGTTTGGGAGGCTGAGATAGGAAGATTGCTTGAGCCCAGGAGTTTGAGACCAGCCTGGGCAACATAGTGAGACCTAGTCTCTACAAAAAAAATCAAAAATCGAAAAATGAGCTAAGCGTGGTGGTGCGCACCTATAGTCCCAGCTATTTGGGAGGCTGAGGCAGAAGAATCATCTGAGCCCAGAAAGTTAAGGCTGCAGTGAGCCGTGATCGTGCTACTGCACTCCAGTCTGGGCAACAGAGTGAGACTCCAACTCAAAAAAAAAAAAAAAAAAAAGAAAAAGAAAACAAGCTTGAATATGTCCAGTGGCAAGTCTGCTACTGGAGGGAACTTTCGTTGTTAGGTGTCTTCTTTTTTTTTTTGGAGTCTCACTCTGTCGCCCAGGCTGGAGTGCAGTAGCATGATCACAGCTCACCACAGCCTCAACCTCCTGGATTCAGGTGATCCTTCTGCCTCAGCCTCCTGAGTAGCTGGGGGACGACAGGCATGCGCTACCATACCTGGCTAATTTTTTTTATTTTTTGTAGAAACGAAGTCTCCCTGTGCTGCCCACACTGGTCTAGAACTCCTGGCCTCAAGCGATCTTCCCGCCTGGGCCTCCCAAAGTGCTGGGATTACAGGCATGAGCCACCGCGCCCAGCAGGAATTGATTTTGATGGCACAAGGCATGAACTTCAGTCGCAAATACCCAACCGTAAGTGTTTTGTTTAACTGTGTTTAGACCTTGCACCAATTCAAAACTTTTAATCATTATTAATCAGAGATCAAAGTTTCTGAAATTGTAATCAAGTAATTAAAATGTGTGTGAGATTATGAAAGTAGTCATGATGAGGAAACCCCGTTTTCTATAAACTCACGTATACTGGACGTCATTACCCCAGGCTAAAAGTACACTTCCTGCTTGGGATCAACTTCATCCTCTATGTAACTCGTGGCTTTAATCTTTAGGACTCTGGGTTCTTTGTGTGTATGTGCCTCCTATGATGCCTGTCTTAAATCATTTCCTATCTCAGCTTTTGAATCCATTTTGATTGTAAACAACCAGGAGGTTTGCTGAAAATGATGCTTAGCACAGTGTTAGAGAAAAGAAATTAAAAAAAAAAATTAAAAGGCCAAGCTTGGTGGCTCAGCCTGTAATCCCAGCACTTTGGGAGGCCGAGGCAAGTGGATTGCCTGAGCCTGAGGGTTCGACACCAGCCCAGGCAACTTAGTGAGACCTCGTCTCTACAATAAATCAAAAAATTAGCCAGGCATGGTAGTGTGTGCCTGTAGCTCCAGCTCCTTGGAAGGCTGAGGTGGAAGGATCGCCAGAGCCCAGCAGGTTGACGCTGGGGTGGCCGTGAGTGTGTCACTGCACTCCAACCTGGGCAACAGAGTGAGACTCTTAACTTAAAAGAAAAAAGAGAGAAAGAGAAAAAAAACAAAGTATTTTGGTCAGATGTGGTGGTTCACGCCTGTAATCTCAGCACTTTGGGAGGCCAAGGTGGAAGGATCGCTTGGGACCAAGAGTTTAAGATGAGCCTAGGCAACTTGGTGAGACCTCGTCTCTACAAAAAATAAAAAAAAATAAGCTGGGTGTGGTGGTGTGCACCTGTAGTTCCAGCTAGTTAGGAGGCTGAGGTGGGAGGATTGCTTGAGTCCAGGAGTTTGAGGCTGCAGTGCTCTATGACAGTGTCACTGCACTCCAGCCTGGGCAACAGAACGAGACCCTGACTCTTTAAAAGAAAGGGTAATTATTTAATAAAATGCATTCTGGTAATAACATTTAATGTGTTGAAAAAATACTGAGTTTTCATCAATCCTTATCTTTCCTAAGTGAAACAGGCCTAATTTCACTTTAATTTCCCCATAGCCCCAAAAATGTGGAGATCAAATAAAAACATCTCTCTTTTGTATAGTGAAAAAAGCGGTGCATCAAAAAGTTATAAACTCAGGGCAGGCACGGTGGCTCACACCTCTAATCCTGGTACATTGGGAGGCCAAGGTGGGAGGGTCACTTGAGCCCAGGAGTTTGAGGCCAGTCTGAGCAACATTACAAGACCTCATCTCTACAAAAAACTTAAAAATTGAGCCAGGCATGGTTGCACATGCCTGTAGTGCCAGCTACTCAAGAGGCTGATGCAGAAGGATCACCTGAGCCCAGGAGGTTGAGGCTGTGGTGAGCCATGATCGCACCACTGCACTCCAGCCCTGGCTACAGAGGGATACTCTGACTCAAAAAAAAAAAAAAGTTATAAACTCACTAAACTGTGACAACTAAACTTGGCATTGGAGTCTATCTGACTTTCACCTCTGTTTATAAGAAATTTTGTTGTTAGTGATGGTGAACTCAGTGTTGTGATATACCCCAGAGTTTGCTAACATGAAGACAACTGAAATCAGTCTTCCTCAACTTCACACAGCTGAAAAATACTGCAATGTGGGAACACCCTTCTTTCAACCCAGCAAGAATAAACACATGCCGTGTTGCTTAAACATGGCATGTGATGTGCCTCTGTACTGCAGAAAAGTTGGAGTTTTGCAAGCAAAGCAAAGTATTCTTGAAAGAATACCTAACAAAGAAATAAGGATGGATCCTAGCACTTTGGAAGGTTGAGGCGGGAGGATTGTTTGAGCCCAGGAGTTCAAGACCAGCCTAGGCAACATAGAAAGATCTCATCTCTACAAAAAATTTAAAAAGCAGTCTTGGTGGCATGCACCTGCAGCCCCAACTACTTGGGAGGCTGAGGCAGAAGGGTGGCCTGAGGCCAGGAGGTCAAGGATGCAGTGAGCCCTCACTGTATCACTGCACTCCAGCTTGGACTACAGAGTGAGACACCAACTCAAAAACAAAACAAAACAAAAAGCAATTAAACAAAAAAAGAGTGAGAATGAGAGCTTTTTTTGTTTGTCTGTCACCCAGGCTGGAGTGCTCTGGCACACTCTTGGCCACCACAGCCTCGACCTGCTTGGCTCAGGTGATCCTTCCGCCTCCCTTCCAAGTAGCTGGAACTACAGGCACGTGCCACCACACCAAGCTAATTTTTTGATATACTGTAGAGACAAGATCTCACCAAGTTGCCCAGGCTGGTCTTGAACCCCTGGACTTAGGCAATTCTCTTGCCTTGGACCCCCAAAATGCTGGATGACAGGCTTGAGCCATCATACTCGGCCAGGATGGGAGTTTTACCTCTGGCTACCCCCCACCCCAAAATGTCTAATAGGTTGCTTCCCATGGTTATTTTATCAAGAATACGTTGCTTTGCTTGCAAAACTCCAACTTTTTTGCAGTACAGAGGCACATCACATGCCATGTTTAAGCAACACACAAAACAAAACTCTCGTCAACATCACAGCACTAACTGCCAAGTAACTATTTATGATTATCTTGGTAGAAACTATTCTAATCTGCTATAGCATTAGCAGCTTGGGAACCGATCAACTTGTGTACATTTTCACTAATTCTTGGGAACGTTACTCATTAGAGCATATGCTCCCCTGGAAAGCACAGCATCTACCTGTGTTGAGGATTTTTTTCAAGTGAACAGGCTTTCCATAAAATATGGGTTAGCACATAGGAGTTCATGTTCTCTTCTTGAAGCTGTAAAGTCCTAGATGGTCAGGTGGCACCCTCTTACCTGGACGCTGGTCAGAGTCGTATACTGGTAGGCTCTGACAATCAGGTAATTTGCTTCCACATCTGCTAGTCCCAGTAGAATATACTTCCACCATTTTCTTCTCAGGATTTCTAGAAGGTTATCACTGCCTGGTTGAAAGAAGGCTGGGTTAGTACATGTCCCCTGAAATGGATACCATGTATGTGAACTGGGAGATTGAGACTGAAAGCAAGGTTTTATTATGGATCTCAAATGTGGCCCCTCCTAATTTCTAATACTCATAACCCAAACTCCTACAACCACTCAGCAGATTCAGTTAAATGTTTTCTAGTATGAGACCCAAGTTAAGGTGTCATCACAGAACCAAGTGTTCAATGAAAGGGTTATAGGCAGCCGGGCTCAGTGGCTCAGCCTGTAATCCCACGCCTTTGGGAGGCTGAGGTGAGTGGATTGCCTGAGCCCGCGGGTTCGAGACCCACCTGGGCAGCGAGACCTCATCTCTACAATAAATTAAAAAAAAAAAAAAATCAGCCGGGCGTGGTAGCGCATGCCTGTAATTCCGGCTACTTGGAAGGCTGAGGTGGAAGGATCGCCGGAGCCCAGCAGGTCGAGGCTGCAGTGGCCGGGAGCAGTCACTGCACTCCAGTCTGGGCGACAGAGTGAGACTCCAACTCAAAAAACAAAAAAACAAAAAAGAAAGGGTTACAGGCTGAAAAGAGACCATTTTTGGTTATATTAGAACAGTCATTTTAAAAGACTTAGAAACTTGCATTAAGAAGTTTTCTTTTGTAGCTGAGTTGGGCTAAACACAAAAGCCGCTTGAATTTAAAAGTACACATTTTTCCTCCCCACCCACCTTCAAAATGCAAGACCCTTCTCCTCTCCTAGTTTGGCCATGCCTGACTGGTTTGGAAGCCCAATTTTATCTAGTAAGCCATTGCTGATGCTGAAGAAGAAACAGCCAGTTATGCCAGACCATGTGATAGGAGACATAAGAACAGTTCGAGGCCAACAGGAGTGCGTCTGACAGTCTGGTATGGATGTTGCCCACTTCCCCTCCATCTGTGAGTACAAGAACATCAGACTGTTACAGTCCAGAGCTCTGGAAACAGGGGGTTGTTACAATTGCATTTTTTTTGTTTTTATTTTTATTTTTTTGGAGTTGAAGTCTCACTCCAACGCGCAGGCTGGAGTGCAGTGGCACGCTCACAGCCACTGCAGCCTCGACCTGCTGGACTCAGGCAATCCTTCCACTTCAGCTTTCCAAGTAGCTGGGACTACAGGTGTGTGCCAACACACCCAGCTAGTTTTTGATTTATTGTAGAGAAAAGGTCTCACGTTGCCCATGCTGGTCTTGAACCCCTGGACTCATGCAATCCTTTTGCCTCTGCCTCCCAAAATTCTGGGATTACCTGCCTATTTCTTTTCTTTTTTTTTTTTTCTGAGTTGGAGTCTCACTCTGTCACCCAGACTGGAGTGCAGTGGCACGCTCACGGCCACTGCAGCCTCGACCTGCTGGGCTCCGGCGAGCCTTCTGCCTCAGCCTTCC